ACAGAGTGGGCTGTGCCAGTGTCCACAAGGAACAGGACATCTGTTCCTCCTATTTCCAAAGTCACCATAGGCTCTTAGGGTTAAGCGGCCATGAGCCTTGGCCCCGTCAATCTTCTTCATCTACTAAGAGGATTCCACCTTTTTCCTTTTGAGCCTCCTTTTCTCTTTTTCTTTTTAGCTTTTCACAATCCCTTTTAAAATGGCCCTTTTCCTTGCAATAGGCACAATGATCTTTTTCTAATAAGGGGCGGATCTTTCCCTTATTCCCTCCTTTGTTTTCAGGTCTTTCTTTCTGGACAAATCCTCCATCAGCCAAGGCAGCTATGGTTGCTTTTCCCAGTCTCTTGTCCATTCTCTCTTCTGGGGTATCCCTGTTGTTAAACACCTTCATGGCTACACTCATCAACTTTTCTCTATTCTCTCCCTCAAATCCTTCTAGCCTTTGCAGCTTCTTTCTAGTCTGGGGCCAACTGGGTAGCAAATGCCAAATTTATTGCCTGCCAATTTGCAGGGGTGTCTGGATTGATTGGAGTATGCGTACAGTATGCTTCCAACAGATGCTCCAAAAAGGCAGAAGGGGATTCCTCTGATCCTTGAAGGACCTCGTTTACCTTGCTCAAATTGGTAGGCTTCTGAGTGGCTCCCCTCAGGCCAGCCAGGAGATGCTGATGATAGTTCTGGAGAGCCTCTCTCCTGCCCGAGGAATTAACTTGCCAAAGGGGTCAGGTGGACAGGAGTTGTGCCTCAATATGGGCCCACTGCTGTTCATCTAGGGGTCCCTCTGCTCTGCCTAATGTTGAGCTTACAGCTTGTCCCCAGATTCTTTCCCTCTCCTCTGAGGTAAAAAGGGCCTGAAGGAGTTGTTGGCAATCATCCCAAGTAGGATCATGGGTATGAAAGATAGACTCCAGGAGAGAGATTAGAGCTTGGGGTTTCTCTGAAAAAGGAGGATTCTGGTGTTTCCAATTGTATAAGTCACTGGTAGTGGAAGGGATATAAACATAGTGACCTTGCTCAGTCTCCCAAAGGGGCAAGAGAGGAGCTGAACTAGTTTCCCCCACAGGAACCTTGCTAGGTCCATTTGCAGCCCCAGCTCGAGTGTGTGTGTGGGGGGGGAGTCACTGAGTCCAGGCAGTGGGGCCCCTCAGGGAGAGGAGGATAGAGAGAGGTAGGAGCTGAAGGTTGAACAGATGGAGGAAGGAAAGAATTTCAGGATCTAGAACGGGATTCATCTGAGGAGGTGGAGGGTTCCACATAGGGCAGAGGCCCTCCCAAGGGGTCTAGGGGGTCAGGTTCCTGTGAGAGTACTGGTTTGGGAGCCCGGGTCTTAAGTCCTCGGGGTCCTTTTGGGTCAGCGACTAAAATGTGAGTGTCTGTTCAAAGAGAACAGCGCTGCAGCCAAGCCAGGGGGTCCTCACAAGCCTGAACCCAGATGTCTATGTAGGGAAATTGGTCTGGGTGGCCAGGATGACTGGTGACTTTGCCCCACACCTTCTGGCAAATACTGGGGTCAAAAGTCCCTTCAGCTGGCCATCCTACCCCAAAGGCTGGCCATTCCAGTTGGCACAGGGAGCGAAGTCTTTTGCGAGAAAATTTTTCCCCATATTCATCTTCTTGTTCTGGAGAAAAAGCCAATTTAAAATTAGTAAGAAAACAGTCAAGCAGAGTGGACCCAGTAGAGAAGGATCCTCCCATCACTCTGCTCCTGATGAGGACTGAAAAGAATGTAAAATCAGACACACAACAGACACAACACTAACACATAAAAGATGAGACAAATGGGCGCCACGACAAACTGAAACTAATTCTTCCCTTGTTCCTCATCAGGAACCTTGGGGTCAGGGGAGGCTTCCCAGATCATCAGCCAACTCACTCCTGACTTAACAAATGGTTGCAATCTGCTGAAAACTTGCCTCTGGAGGTTTTCTGAGGTCTGTATCTGAGAGTCTCCTGCTGGATGGATCCTGCCACAGAATCTCAGCCAAATCGGGGGTTTCCACCTGGGGATCTCGCTGAGGCCTCCAAAATGTAAGACCGAGGGCCTTACCAAATGCTCTAAGGAGCTGGCTGCAGCGAAGAACACCCAGGAGGGAACACACCAGACAAGTTGGAAAAGTAAAACAGACCTTTATTAGTCTGGCCAGAAGGCACCCTCCAAGCAAACAAGCTTAAAGAGGGCCCGAGCTCAGGGGGTTGGAAGGTTTTATAGGGCTGCAGGGGTGCTTAGCAAGCAGAACTACAGAAGTGGAATTTTTGCAGTTAGGGGATGGTTGGGGGGAGTTGCAGATGTTCTTTACTTAGCGAACAGGATGTTCCTTACACAGAAACAATGGTACATTCCATGGTGTTTTAACAGATAAATAAGTACATTCTGGGAACTCTGTCCTGTAGTGAACCTGAAACCCACAGAGACAAGATGGAGGGCCTATAACAAGATGGCATTACTTGTGCTAAGTCTCATCTGGGTCTTACAGTAGAAAGGTACCAAAAAAATAATCCCTCCTATTTTTCTTAAAAATTATTAAATTTTATTTTTCACCAGGAAATTATATTGATAATTATAGTATTAATTTCATCAAAAAATATAAAGCCAATTATTTGGTATTATATTAGATTTCTTTTTTGTTTAAAGCATATATTTGGAAGTTAGTTTTAAGTAATTTTAATTTCAGTTCAAAATCCTAATTTAAATTATTTTCAATCTTTTCCTTCAGAAGTAAGAGAAAAAAAAGTCTGAAATCTTACAATAAGGACCTATTCTTCAAACAATAGGAAGAGGATGATGGGCTACTATGGAACCCCAGGTCTAGCTACCCTTATCAACCCTTCATAAAATTGCCTCTGACTAAAGGTTATCCAGTGACAGCATCACTTTGTTCTGCACTGCAGACCTGTACACAAGCAACTCCCAAAGGGCCAGTAATTATGCAACAGCAGTGTGAGAAGTGATTTTGGAATCTGAGACTTAGCATTTAGAACTAATACTTATGGTTTTTCTATATATATTCATGCTATATAGGACTGTTTATGTTTTCCTTCTCAATAAGAAAATAAATGGGGTAGAGAGATGAGTTCTGGTTAAACATAGATGAATGATCACGTGCTTTTCAATTTATTTTCCTAAAACTTCACTAAGGAATAAATCTTAAAAAATAAAAGGAAATGTTGAGATGTAGTGAAAAAGTGCACAGGCAAGAAAAAACTTGAAGGAAGACCCAATGAAAGAGTAGTAAAGAGCAGGTAACATATGCAGAAGTACTGCACAGAGTTTATTGTGGAAAGGAAATAAAAAACAGACTTCTCAGTGACAAAGACCAATTAGAAAATGCCAAATAATGGGGATAATCATCAGAGATGAAATCAAGAGGATGAATTTTAAGTCCTTTTCACAGATTTTTAATAACCTTAAATATCATATTGCTATCCCAATAAGCAGAAAAGTAAAGCTAGGTTTCTGATTCCCATGTTTAAGAAAAGTGAAATGCTGTTTAGATGATTTAAAAGATGTTCTGCTTCAAGAGCACAAGGTCCTGAGTTCTATCCCTGGTACCCCCCCCAAAAAAAAATAAATAAAAGAGACTTAAAAGATGTTAAAGAGGAAAATTCTTCAGATATTGTTGAGATGTTCTTCAGTGAAGACTATCACACCAGATCATCCTAAAATATACGGACTCCTTGGATCTCCCTGTCCATGTGAGGATGGTTTCTCATGGACTTGTGTGTGGCTCAATCTTCAACATGAACATGAAAAGACATAAGATCTCAATAAAAATGTCTTGAACAACAACAAAAATGACCTTTGAAAATGTAGATACAATTCTTTAACAATGATACAATATTCTCAATTAGATTCCTCAGAGATACATACCATTACAAACAGAGCCAAAAACCAAGGTTCACGTTAATAAGAATAATTAGAGGACCATGATTTTCAGAATATAAAATACTATTGTTGAAATTTAAAAGTCAGCAAAAATGTTGAAAGATCCATTAAAAATTCCTTCTAGAAAGTTAAACAGAATATCAGAGTTATAAAATACGGAAGACATAATGTATAAACAATCAAACAAAAAAGTGTAACATTTAATTAATAAAATTTGGGGGAATAAGAAGGGAACAGGTGGGTATAAAAGACAAAAGTGTAGAAGTCTTCAGATGGAAAAGACAACCAAGGATACAAATTTATGAAAAAAAGAAACAGCAAATACAAATGTGTGATTAGGATGACCTTAATTTGTCCTCCACATGACTAACATTTAGACGGTTTTCTCCTTGACCATAAGATCCTGACTTCTTTTTTATTTGGTTGTTTCTTTTTAGAGCATTTACTTAGGAAAGTCAGAATTGTACATCCGAGCACTGTTCCTTGGAAATGTAAATTTTCTTCCAGCTTCTTTCCAATATTATAACCCAGGAAACTTTCTCAGGGACCTTGGAACCTTCTCTTTAAAATGTAATCATCACAGATCTTATCTCTGAGTGTCTGTGAGAGCATAAGCACCTAGTCAGGAGCAGGAAACATAGGAGTCCCAATCCTACAGACAAACGCCTCCCTGGCCTCATCTGTAAGTGTCTTCTTCTGGCTTATCCTAGTGTCCAGTCTCTTTCTCATTCCTACTTTCAATGAAATTGAGTTCTATCCCTCTACTTACAATAAAGTCTTTCTTGCCTCCTTAATTTGTCTATACATTTCTCCCTTGATACATGTATCTTTAGTAATTTCCAGAATCTTAGGAAAAAGAGATCTAAAATAATTCCAGGGGAGGTAATAAAATAATTATCAATATTCCAACCTTCTACATAAGATTGCCATGTTCTGCAAGGAAAAGGAGCAAATCTTTTAAGTTATGACAGAAAATAATTTTCAACTTGGAGGTCCCATCTTTATTCAGGCTATAAATCAAGATAAAGAAAGAATACAAACAGTTTTATAGATGGAAAATTTCCTTATTTAAATGTTTATTTTGATCAATGGATTAAAATATAAGTTTTGAGGCTGGTGGGATGTGGCTGGATAACCATATAGTAATTACAGAAGACAAAAATGTGTTTCTGTCTTATATAGCAGGGGTGTTTTTTCATCAAGAGTCCAGAACGCTTCATTTTCTGTTTCAGTATTCATACAGTGTGGAATGTGGTACAAAATAACTGCTGGACCTCCAGTCAGTACACCCTTGGTCCAGATACCTGGATGGAGAAGAAGAGTAGATCTTCTCTTTCTAAAACATACTCCCAATAATTCACTTAATACTTCTACTTATAGGCTAAAACTGACTTATACAGCAATACTATAATATACTTGATGCAATAAAATACTGGGCTTACTCTGGGAAGCATAATGCTAAATTTAACTCCTAACATTAAAGAACGATATTCAAATGGGGATTGTTAATGAAAATAGTGCTTGTCAAACATTGCATTCAAAAGAAAATGTGAGATCTAGAGACTGGAAAGATTACTGAGGTATTACAACAGCATATAGTACAGAATAAAAATAAATTGTGAAATTGAGAACATATTTTAGTACTCTGCTTTTAAAATCAGACAAATAAAATGTACAACAAACTAGTAAGGACAATACAGATGTGAGTCAAAAATAGCACACACATTTTAAGTGACGTGTAAAGATATGGGTAGACAAGTCTCATAACCACACACAGAAAACCTGCAAATTAGTTTTAAACATTTGTGAAACATGAAAAATTCACTATATATTTGACCACAGAGGAAGTCTCATTGAGTAAAGGGAATGTGATAAACTGTTAGATCAGAACAGAATTCTAATTAAAGCCCCCCAAATCAGTATGACCCAGATCTCATTTTCTTATTAACCAAATTTAATTAAAACATATTGTGAAGAAAAGAATCTTGAAACTTCTCTTTAAAATGTAATCAGCATGAACATGCCGAATCAGCCCGTTGCAGACAGGCAGGTCTGTGCATGCCCTACCAAGGTCACGAGTTGCACAGAAGATGCCGAATCACACCACTGCAGACAGGCAGGCACCTGATTCCACACTAAAAAGATGCAGAGGACACCAGAACACCAGACCAAGGTATTGAGTCCTGCCGTTCCCGGCCCAGAGGTAGGGGCTTCTGAGACACCATCCCACTGCTCCTGGTCCAGAGGAAGGGGCTTCCCAGTCACCATCCATTATGCTGCTCCCAGCCCAGAGGAAAGGGCTTTTGGGCCACCTTCTGTCCCTCTGATTTGGCCCAGAGGAAGGGGCTTCCGGGCCACCATCCCTTCCACTGCTCCCGGCCCAGAGGTAGGGGCTTCTAAGCTGCCATCCCACTGCTCCTGGTCCAGAGGAAGGGGCTTGCTGGCCACCATCATTCCCGCTGCTCCCAGACCACAGGAAAGGGTTTTTGGGTCCCCATTCCTACTGCTGCCCCCGGCCCCTGTCCCACCTCTCCCAGCTCAGAAGAGGTAATCTATGCAGGTGCTAACAGCCACCCACCCCAGTCGAAATGAGAAAACACATAAACAAGTCTCAAAACCAGACCTCCAGATCACCTACAGCAACCCTAAAGGGAAATGAGATGGAACACTCTGATACTCAACCACCTGGACCCACTGAACTGGCAA